GCTGATTTTGCAGGTTTGCCCACTTACAAAGAATGCTTATTTTTCCTCATCAGATGGTTATCAATTTTTATAAATTCATATGATGTGATTTCTGGAATTTTCTTTGGGATTCTGTCTTTCACTGTTAGAATGTACATATGATTAAAGTTATAGATCGTTGCATTCTTTGTAAGTGGGCAAACCTGCAAAATCAGCAAGGGGTCAAATACTTATTTCCTCCACTGTATATAGCGCCACATCACAACAACAGTTGTCTCACAGCACTTTCCAAACAGAGCAGGTCAGACCCTACTCTGAAGTTAATTACAGAAACCCAAAAACACAGAGACAACAAACCAACCAAATCCATCACACTGCCCACCGACCCCCCCAAGGCCTGCCAGGAGGAATTAGAAGAATATAGGGTTGCCAAAATAGAAAACTGTGAGAAGAGTTGAGACGCTGTGGAAAAAACCTCAGAGGTTTGGTGTCTGGATTTGTGGGAGAAGAAGAAAACTGACTGGAAAAGATTGGACAGATTTGGCATCAGAATCAGAATTAGAAAAAGACTTTAACCCTGTAATGCCAAATGTATCATATTTGATTCATACTGTTTCTGAAATGTTTTGCGTCTGACACCTTTTGCATAATTTAATGGTAAAAACTTTGCTCAAAATCCTATTGTACACATTCAGATACACCTGATAACAGGGGGCAGAAGTCTACACAAAAAATAATCCTGACTTATCGCATAGTAATAAATTATTAACATTAAAAATGTATTTCTGTTTTTTCTTTTTACATATTTTGTTAAAAGGCCTAATAAGTAATTCAAACCAAAAAAAAAAGTAATTTTATGTTTGGTTTTATTCTTGGATCAGGCTTTAAAGAGTTAATAATCCCAGAGGGAGATTATTTTAAAGGACTGAGATTTATCTTGATTTATCGTATAGTAATAAATTATTAATATTAAAAATGTATTTCAGTTTTTTCTTTTTACATATATGGTTAAAAGGCCAAATAAGGAATTCAAACAACAAAAAAAAAGTAATTTTCTGTTTGGTTTTATTCTTGGATCAGGCTTTAAAGGGTTAATAATCCCAGAGGGAGATTATTTTAAAGGACTGCGATTTATCTTGATTTATCGTATAGTAATTTATTTCAGTTTTTTCTTTTTACATATTTTGTTAAAAGGCCAAATAAGTAATTTAAACCAAAAAAAAGTAATTTTCTGTTTGGTTTTATTCTTGGATCAGACTTTAAAGGGTTAATAATCCCAGAGGGAGATTATTTTAAAGGACTGAGATTTATCTTGATTTATCGTATGGTAATAAATTATTAATATTAAAAATTTATTTCAGTTTTTTCTTTTTACATATTTTATTAAAAGGCCAAATAAGTAATTCAAACCAAAAAAAAGTAATTTTCTGTTTGGTTTTATTCTTGGA